AATTCGTACACGGAATGCCAACAATCGTTTGTGCGTAGTTTTCCAGAATCGCGCGTGCCGAATAAATCAACAGTATGCCAAATTGTTCACCGTTTTTGTGAAACAGGCAGTGTAAGTGACAAGAAGCGATCTGGACGGCCATCAAGTCTGAGTGATGAAAATTTGAATGAAGTTAGGCAGTGCTTAGAACGGTCACCCAGAAAGTCCTTAAGATGATTAGCACATCAGACTGGATTGAGTTATGGAACAACGCAGAGGTGTATGAGGCGGCTGAAGCTTGTGCCTTACAGAATTCACACAATGCACGAACTCAAGGAACCGGACAAAGGGAAAAGATTACGATACTGTGAATGGTTCCGAGAACTTGTGAGGGACGGTGTCGGCATCTTGGACAACATTTTCTTCACAGATGAGGCTTGGTTTCATTTAAGTGGTTATGTAAACAGTCAGAACAGTAGGTTTTGGAGCTCTGAAAAGCCACACTTTTTCCATGAGGTGCCCTTACACAGTCTGAAGATTGGAGTGTGGTGTGCAGTTTCACGTCGCAGCGTGGTGGGTCCTCTTTTCTTTAGATAAACTGTTATTGCTGAACGTTACCAGGAAATCGTTATGCAGTTTATTGCATTACTGGAGGAAACAGAACGTGATTGCTGGTTTCAGCAAGATGGGGCCACTGCACACAGAGCCAATTCCACCCTGGCAATGTAGGCTGAGTTTTTTGGTGATCGTGTGATTTCTAAGGGTTTGTAGCCACCTCGTTCCCCAGACCTAACGCCACCTGATTTTTTTCTTTGGGGATACTTGAAACAAAAAGTATATGCAAACAACCCTCAAACCCTGGATGAACTGCAAACCAACATTGAGATGTGCATTGCAACCATACCCCAGGCAATGCTTCGTCATGTGTCTAGAAATGTGATTAAAAGAGTGAATTTGTGTCACAGAGAAGGAGGATCACACTTTCAACACCTGTGATTTCCATATGGTTTGGTTTACATTAGATTTGTATATTACTTTATATTATATGTACATTAATTCTTTGGGTTGCATGACTTCTGGATCATCCTGTATGTGGTACTCTTGAAAAATTATTTTTAAGTGCTTTGTTTACATGATATCTCCTTAAAACTGATAGTATTCCAGGGTGTTATCATTCTTGACTTACAGAAAAGCATGATTATTACCATGCATGATCTTGCTTTCTTATTAATGTAAGTGACACTGATGTTGAATGTAATAGGTAACTGCCAGCCATGACCCAAAGGCTTTCCAGTACAATATCCAGGTTAGATTACAACCTCAAGGGGAAGAGATCATTAAAGACCTGGAAGATATCGTGAAAAAGCAACTTTTATTCTTTTACAAACGCACAGGATACAAACCACAGGCGATAATATTCTTTCGTGACGGTGTAGGTGAAGGGCAGTTTGCACAGGTAAGCACAGTTTGAAACACAAAGTATAGAAACTAATGTGTATGGAAGAACATTGCAGTGTATTGAGTTCTTTTGTTGCTTTGCATTGTTTGGGCTGGATAACATGGCACTTCCTGGTAGGTTCAGATTTT